CCTCCGGGGATTAGTGTGTGTGTGTGTGTGTGTGTGTGGGGAGGGGGGGTTGTGAGAGTGTGGTTAGGGGGGGGGTCAGGTCAGGATAACTCTCCTGCCCAAGTGATCATTACATGATATGATTCATACTAATCCTCATCCCATGTATTGGAACCGATGCTGTCGTGACAGCTGATCACTAGCCTCCTCAGCGGGGAGCTCTAACCACAGCTCCTGGGGCAGTCTATGCCTTCCCTCTCAGTTGGGTCGGCTCCACACGGGCAGTCATTTGGCTCATCTTCTGAGTGGGCGGCCCTTCTGCATTGTCCCCACCTCTAAGGCCTTGTGCCGCCCTGCCCTCCGGGGTATGCTCACTCTCTGGGGCCACCGGCCTTCAAACAAACATAATCTATCACAAAACAATGTGTTCTATTTTATTGCTGGAGTTTATGTCACTGATTAAGCCTGTTCTTGCAGTCATTCTATTGCATAGTCTCACATGCCAGGTTTCAGTTTTCCTAATAATTTTTTATATACTTGTAAACCTGCCTGAGCTATCTTTCAATTGTCTGGTGGGATTATTGTTCACATTCATGCCTCCCAAGAGATGAGTCTTTGGGTGGGGTAGTTTTTGCCAATTCATTTTAGCTAACTTGTTTGCCTGTGCTAATTTTTGTATCACGACCCACTGTGTATTATCGAGATCAATTGCTGTCCTCATGACTATTGTTAGTTCTGTTATTCCAGATTGTGTTAGTTTTACTTCGGGATAAATTTGTCCTTGTTCTCTTGCTATTCCCTAATTGCTATTGGGAATTTTGGGTGTAGCACTGCCCACTGTGACAACATATTACTCTGCCCTTCATGACTATATCACGGGCTCTACTACCCCCTGCTCACTGCACATTTTGTGGTTATTATTACGGGGTGCCTTGTCATCATCACTAACATATATTAGGGCTCATTGCTTGCGCCCTAGGCCTGCCTCAGGGGCCTTTCTGCCCTCCAGGACTGTGGGGTCCTCCTTGGCCCTCCCACCCCCTGGGCTGTTGTTTCCTCTGGGGCCTTCTCACCCACCCCTTGGGTTGCCTGGCCCTCTGGGACTCTTGCCCTAGGGGCCTTCTTACGGCCAGGGGTCTCCCCTCCAGCTGGGGTCATCCCCTTTGGGGCCTTTCTCTTCCTGATCTCAAGGCCCTCCCGCCCTCCGGGGTGACCTAGCCCTCCCACCCTCTGGGGTTACTGGGCCCTCCCCTCCTCCCTCTGGGTTATTTGGCCTTCAGGGGCCCTCCCACCCTCCAGGGTTACTTGCCAGTGGCCCTCTTGGGCCCTCCCACCCTCCGAGGTTTTATTATGAATT